TTCTCTTATTCTTTTGAACAGACGCCGACTCGTAGAAATTGCGTAAACTTGCAGATTAATTAATAGGCTCAGGCCGACATGATTTGCCATCGTGAATAAGCTTTTTTCTCCCTTAAACGCTTGCTCCTCTTGCTGTCGGACTCTTCTCACACCAAAGTATACATATATTAGGCAGATAGCATTACCGTGGAAGACCCGAGATTCCACTAGTAGCCGATGTGCGGCTGCTGGCGGGGCTCGACATTGAGCTCCAAGGCAGAATGGAACGAGTGAGTTCAGTTATCGATCGTTGAACGTTCGTCAACAAAACATAAATGGTATGAGAGGCGCTAACTGATTAAACTACGAGCTGTGTTCGCCCCTTTGCGCGCTGGAGTTCATTTTAGGATCCTTACAGACAGTTGCGTATAGACTAAGAGAATGGGGGACCAATAAAGGTCAGGGAGATCGGAACGATCAGTTGTGGCTTATTAGCCGTCATTAACTCGTTATGGGATTGTGAGTGGAAAATCCTTACCTTTCTCCTTAAGGATGATTTAAGTTACGGCCAGATCTGATAGGTCCTGGTCAAAATTCATGGGACTGTTTCGCTAGCATTCATGTTACCTTCTATGAAGTGCTTTTCTAATTAGGATTTACCTCTTTACGTGGCAAGAAATATATCTTACTGCTATAGGGTCTTTCAGCATCATTTGGGTTGTCCACGTAGTCCGGAAGCAGAATTCAGTCGATTGGAGCAAGTGTACCCAAACACCTGTCGCATTGCACACACAAACACGAGCGCACCTGCCCCTCAGCAGCTAAAGAACAAAGCAGTGGTTTGTGATTGATAGACACGGTCAGGCTGAGAAAAAAATGATGAATGAATGAAAGCGGCAAAGGCGAAGCTAGAGGGATGTGGGTTCTTTGCAAAGCCTTTTGTCAAGAAAAAGAAAAAGATCTGACAGGTAGAAGGGGGCGGATTTTAAAGAAGAGAGCGACCTACGATGAAGAGCTTTTTGCACCCCTAGTCACACGTTTGAATGTTTACGCTGATTGGATTCAGGCGTACTCGTTGACTTTCGGCTAGTTAACACCCGACAACAAAAAACTTGTGTAAAAGGGAGGGAGAATGAAATGTAATAAAAACAGACCTTGCATTTAAATTATGTTTCAATACAACTTCTCAATTTAAAATAACTGTAAGGTTTAAACTTAGTTTTTAATTCATGTACAATCAAGTTTCAAAATACGCAATAATGTATATATATATATATATACAGCATGAAATCTAGTCATATGTAAGGTTTAAAGGATCATTTCTGCAGCAGCTATGCACTGGTGCAGTACATATCATTTGAAATAATGAAGCAAAGGTCATGGATGGCTGCAGATAGTCTTGCAGTGAGAGTCGTCGGTTATCAACGATTAAGTAATCCATCTGCCGTTTGAACACAGCAACGGTATACGAAGTCACTATTTCGCTTGGAAGGGAGCTCCACTGTCGAACCACCCACTGACTGAAGGAACGCTTGTGTGAATCTAGGCATTTACGTCCACCTTTGATTTTGTACGGGTGGCCGTACAGGTATGTCATGTTTGCCAACCCAAAAAATCTTCGGATTTCAGCAAACAAAATGTCCATAGCAGGTTACACCTCATTTGTCTATAGGATAGGAGAAACAAATTAAGTTTTGCTAATAGAATTTAATATGCGAGATCCCGGAAGCAGTTCAGAAGAAGAAGAAGAAGTGACCACTGGGACAAGAGTTTTA